TTGAGCCATGCCTCCAGCCCTTGACCATGACCTTCAATAAGGTATGGTCCCTGCCCTGATGGGAACAGAGGCCAGAGTGTGGTCACCAATGGGAGAGAACTGAGTCATAAGGAAGGAGAGGGCCTAAGGGTACAAAAAGGTTCTTGAAAGAAGGAAGACAATGGTCCCTACCATTGGTAGCAGACAGTGAAAATGGCAGCCATTCTCATTTGGGGACCTTTCATTTCTCTCCCATGTCAGCCATCTCCCCTCACTGCCTACATCCCCAACCAGAAAGCCACAGATGTAGGATATCCATATTAATAACTGGACGGTATGTGCGGGGTTTAGAGACAAGAATAATGAAATCCTCCCACTCCAAGCCTCCCTGGAAACTTTAGGCTTGTTTGTACTCAAAGACACTGTCATCCTTTCAGTAAACACAGGAAATTTGCTTCGGATCTTTATTTTGTTGTTATTGTTCACGACAATTCAGGGTCACTGTTCGTTTCTCAGGGTCACTGAATAGTTTGTCTGCTGGTTAGTTTTGCTCACTACCCTGTTGCCCTTAACCCCACCATCCAGGTCAGATCCTAGTTCAGTATGGCCCGATAGACTTCCTTTAGTGATAGACATGCTCAACGCAGTAACCACTAGCTAGCTATACTCAGCCATTCAGCACCTGAAGAGTGATGAAGGAGCCAAGTGTTTTAATGTATGTGGTTGTCACTAATTTACACTTAGCCACAAGTGGCTAGGGTCTGTAGTTTCAGATAGATAATTCCAGAGTAAAAATTCAGGAGGGTTCATTGCTTCTAAGCAGTCCCTTTACAAGTTCTCTGTGATTTATGAGAAATTAATAAAATGCATTCACACAAGTAAAGAGTGCCCATGACAGTTAGTGAGGAAATCTCTTCTTAAGGAAATAAAAATGGACTGTATTCAAAGTTGGCCAAGTTTGAGATGCAGGAGTACTATGGGCATACTGATTGGGCCCAAAGGTGAAATGCCACCTCTTCAATACCTGAGTCATGTCTGGTTTGGATCACTTTTCCAGTTTTCCGTACAACTCCTTCCTTTACAACCTTCAACGCTTTACTAAAATGTTTGCAATACACACTCCCAAACTCCAGCCCTCCTCATTCCTTACTCCTACTCCACATTTCTTTACTGCAATCTGATATGCTAAATTTGATTGGTTTGTTAGCAGTTTTATCCTTATCCATTTCTACCTGAAAGAGCAAAAACTGTCTGAGCATGAGTATCTTTGTCTCTTTTCTTTCTCTGCCATAACTCAGTGCCTGGGGCGGTATATGACATGTAGATGCTCACTGATAACCAAATATTCAAGCTGTGTCTGTTCTGGTACCATACACTAAGTACATTTTCAGTTTGGATGGCTTGTTAATGAATAAAGCACACAGTTATCGGCCGGTCTCTGTGGTTTTATTAGTGTTTTCTGGGACCATGAAACAAACAAAAAAAATAATATTTTGAAAAATCTGATTCTTTCATAAAACAGAAATACTCAGTTTGAATTTAACATAGTTTAAGGGGAAAGATTTCTGGTTTTTAGAACAATAGTGGCAGTAGGGCTGGTTCCCACAAATTGTCAATGCAGAAGCCAGATGGCAAGAAAAGTAAGATTTATAAAGATAACTATAGAATGATAAAATTCCAATTTAGCTAAACTTGCGAAGGCCTGCACATAACAAAGGTTGACAAGACATAGTTCCAACAGGTTTGTTTTTTCATGTGGTCTATGTCTTATTCCAGAAACTGAATCCTGAGAACCAAATGTGAGGGTAATTGTATATTACCATGGCTATGATAATCTTTCATCCAGACAGTGAGTACATATCAATATTACAGAGATTCCTCACATCTATGGTTCCCTGCTGTGCTGTGCACACAGTAGGCACTCAACAAATGCTTGTTTGAAATTATAGAAGAATATAAATGCTTTTCCCTCTTACTGTTTCACCTTTTCTTACATTTTCTACATCTGAAAAACAACACACTTGCAAAACTAAAATCTAACATGCATAACTAAGCTTATCAAAAGATCCCTCCATATTTTTCAAAAAGAAAAAAATAAAAATATAAACCAATCCCCAAATACTAAAACTTAGAACGGTTTTATGCTTAAATAGCAATCGCCATCATATAAACACATTCATACTCTTCATTGATTAAAATAGGCCAAGGGTTCATTACTGGCACCTTGTACCAGGTAAGTCTCACAGTTCCAAATAAGGCAACGGAATCCTTGTCCAACATACATTGACTGATGGAACTCAACATCCTATCTGGGTTTCATTTCAGCACAGGTAGGAAAGCAAAATAAAGAGTGTCACAGTAAAATGTTCGTAATAGATAATGTGTCCTTGAAGTTTTGGTTGTCACATGAAGAAGTGATTCGTGTTCCAATTATGAATACGGTCTCCCATATCCCAACAGATACTCATTCATTAATTCCACAAATATTCAATGTGTACCTGTCACATGTCAGGAACCAGGAAAATAATAGTGATAAGTCCCTGCCCTCAAAGAGTTTATAATCTAGCAAGACAAGAAATTGAAGGAAAACCCATGACCTTGTGTGCCCTGCCCGGTGGTACATTGTTCCTAAGATCCAGGAACTTACTCAAGTTTTGTCAAGTCAAATAGGAGCCTCAGACGACCTGGGTCTTGTGAAGTCTTGGCTATACATTTCCAGACTTAGGTTCTCAGTGAAAATCAGGTAAAGGCCTGAGCCTTTATCTTAAGAAAGGTTCAAGGAAACTGGGTGTAGAGACCTGTGAGTTTCTCAAGTGAGAAGCTGTGTCCCCAAAAGAAAGGGGACTCTGTAAGACTTAACTCTTCCTGTCAACACTGTGGGGGGCAAGTATTCTGGTCACACCCCAAGTTGGTATGGCCCAATTACCCGGAGTTCTCCAAATCACGAACAGCACATAGAAAGTGCAGCAAAGTCAAGCCAAGACAATGGAGATTTGCCTGGAACTTAATACTCCAGCTATTCAAACAGACATTGGGTGCCAAAAAACTGTCACTTTCCACAGATAATGCAATCCACTGCTTATCTGCACAACTGTGCTCATTGGTACTCTCTAGATTCAAGGATTGCTCTTCATTGGAAAGGAGGCTGCAGGAAAAGCCAAAGTCAAATTGGAGAAATGTGAGAAATTTACATGTTTGAGGAAAGGTGAACTCAGAGAAAGATCTAGAAACCCTGGACAATGAATAAGCCAAGCTAGGCACAGAACAGCAGAGAGAAAACTGGCAGATGCCCCATAATAACTTCACACAATTCAGACACACTCAAATATTCATGAGTTACACCACTTCAAATACTGGAGATTTCATTCACTCTGTATAATGTAGAGTCAAGGCTGGTAAGACCCCATGGTTCTTTAGCCTTCGAAAGCAAGGTCTGTCTTTTATACAGGAATAGCTCAGTTGTATTTTTAAAGTGTCTACAGACTCATGTTCCTCCTGACTTGTGTGGCCCAGTGGTAAGTCTTCAGGTATTCCAGAACAATTCCAGTATTGAAGAAGAAGCTTCCAGTGCTTTGCTCCTGAGCTGTTCTTGTTTCTCTTGTCTTTTCCATCCTTCCTCTTCCTTTCTCTTTCCTTTTTAAAAAATTTCTCTGAATACAAATGTATTCAAATGAGATGAGTTCAGATGAGACAGTAAAGAGACGATCCAAAAGAGGGAGGTTTGTAAGAACTAACACCTGAGAAAGAGGATTTTCCCTGGAGATCTCTCTCTCTCTCTCTCTCTTTTTCTCTCTGCCTCTCTCTATATACGCATACACACACATACAAAGCCATCTCTCAGCATTTCCTTCTGCAATGTATTTCAACCCATTCCCATTGTCCCTAATATTTTAAAATACGAGTGGACTTTATGATCTTGCTCTAAGAACTGAAAGACCTTACAAATCTTATGAGGCGAAATCAGCATCTTCATCTTGACTGGCCAAATCGGTGGTTGTCAATCAAGGGCAATTCTGTCCTTGATCATATGATGTCTGCAGACATTTCTATTTGTTATGGTTGGGAGTGCTGATGGTATCTAGTGGGTGGAAGTCATGGATACTGCCACACATCTTACAGTGCACAGGGCACCTCTCCCCACAGAGAATAATCCAACCAAAAGTGTCAATTGTGCCAACCAAGAAACCTCGAACTACAAGAGATGCAAGTGCAAACTTGCCAGTCAATCCCCATGCCACTACCTGCTTTTCCCCACTTATTTTTAAATAGTTGGAATAAAAATAATCAAGGATAGACTCTCTATTAAATAACTAGAAGTGAGCAGGTGTGGCAATTGAAGACTTTTTTTTTTTTTACCAACCATCCAAGGGAAGGGGGGAACAGGAAAATCACTCTGAATGAGCATAAAACCCCCCACCATTATTCTTCTCACAGATTTAAACATTCCCAGTCACCTGATTATGCAGTGATTACAGACCACCTGGATTTGGGAAGTTCCCATTCTCTACTCACTGGTTCCTAAAGATCAGGTTCAACTTTCCAGCATCCTTCCTGTGATCTCATCAATCTGAGCAACCATGTCCACCTTTTGAAAGATCATTTGGATGCTTATGTGTGGAGGACACATCAACTTTTTCTAAACAATGTTGTATATGAAAACATTTAATGCCCTTTGATTTCTTTTTCCTTTCTCTTAGCAAGAAGCATGAGGCTACAAGCTCTGTTTTTCTTGAGCTTCACAATAGAGGCAAAACAAATCACAACCACACACAGCGTCGTATTTCACAGAAAACTGTGTACGTTTGTTCCCCATACAGGACATACTTCAGAGTAACAAAATAATTTTTTTTTTTATCAACTGTAGTGTTCTTTCTTTCCATTAGAAGTAGATCATTTTTTTCCCTTTATGGTACATAAATATCAGCGAAAAGTAGTCTTTGGAATATTTATGCCCGGGAGTTCCTGGTTGGTGGCTACTCATTTCGTGCGTGCTTTGGTCTATGTCCCAAGGGATAGCATCTTCAGTTCTCATTTTCTCTCCACCCGCGAGCATTCTTTCCAAATTTATAAACCAGCCTCCGTCCATCCACGCGTTCCAGGATTTCTCGTTTGTAGTAGTATCTGTAAGAAAGGAAATCCCCATAAGGTGGTCGTTACTGACACCTGAGCACACAGCCGGCTGTGTGGCCTTGCCTTTCGGGGAGACGTGATACAGCTCACCTCATGGCCCGGCTGAGCTTCTCGTAGGTCATGCTACTGTTGTTCTTCTTTTTCCCCCACAGCTGAGCCACGGCCTCGGACTTCAAGAACCTAAAGATGCCTTCGGAGCGGTCTTCCCACTTGATCAGCCCTGGGTTCTTGTCTGGGTGCAGGAGGATGTCGCGGATGAATTCCCATAAGTGAGTCCCTCTCGGGTCTGATGAAAAGCAGGAAAATGGACTTACTAATCACCTAAACCACAGCTAAGAAGGGCAGTGGGGGCATTGAGTTACTTTTTCCTTGAGATACTCAATTCTCCTCTACTCACCAGGATAGAGAGATCAGAATCCCCAAATAGCAGACACTCAACAGGCATTGGAGAATGAACGATGTGCACAATTTTTTAATTTTACAAATCAAGAAACTGAGGCATGGAGAATTGAAGTGACTTGACCAAGGTCACACAGTCAATCATTGGCAAAGCCAAGGCTAAGGACTAAGTCTTAGGCCAGGAGGAGTTCCTTCTAATTATTGTTCACCAATTGCTTAGGCTTCGTTTCAACTTCTTGCCTTCCTCACAGAGCAACTTTTCCTCACCCAACTACATTGCTCCAACCCAGCAACTGTGCTGTGACCAAATTTAAGTCAGTTAGGCTGTACAGTCTTAACTCCTATGCTACATATGTGTGGAGGGATGTCAGATAAGGATGGGATGGGGACACCAATTTGACAATGAAACAACTGCTGGAATTAACAACCAAATTCAATTTTATTCCTACTGGATTTGTGTCACATCCCCTCCTGCACACCACTCATTAATTCACTTTTATGGGATGACCTAGAATAGCAGATAAGAAAGACATCCAATTCCCTATCACTTCTAGATTAGTATATCATCCTGATTTCTCCCTTTGGCCGCCCCCCAATTCTAGGTCTCTGACATTTCATAAATGTTCATAAGATTTTATTACTGGGGGAAGTTCGAGTCCCAAAGAGCCGTGTTGAATTGTCAGAATAAACCATCATTTCTTGAACCAAGAACTCTGCAAATGTAGGAGGTCAGCATTCAGCCATAGAAAGAATGATGGATTTCAGCTGCTGCTTGCCATCTTGCTCCTCCTCCCACCCTTTTTTCTGGGATAAAGGGAAATGGCCTGCAATATCTTATTCACCTGGGGTCCTGGTTGAATGTAGAACAAATACAACACATGAAGAGGGAAGAGCTAGGGGTCCCACTTGGAGAAGGAGTTGCAAAAGGGGTTCTTTTGCCATAAAATGAGGCCTCTATTTTCTCCCCCAACCCAGTCACAGAATAAAGAAAGAGAGAGAAGGCAGAGGCAATGTTTGCCTCAGAACAGCCAGGCAACTTACTGTGTTTCTTGGTGTGGGGCTTTGCAGGGTGGTCTTGCTCCTTTTTCATATCCGGTGACTCTGCTAAGGAGAAACGTGAGAGCTTCTCAGTTTACCTGTTTCCTACAGTTTTCATTTTCATGCTCTCATGCATCCACCTACTGTTCGTTGACACTGTTTGGCTATATGGTAGTGAACCAAACAAAACAGAAGGTAAATGCTATGGAGAAAAATAATGCAGGATAAGAAATTGTGATAGAAATATAGATGTGGAATAATTTGCAGTTTACTACAATGTTGTCACAGACCTATTTTATAAAGGTACCTGTAGGATATGGGGGAAATAGCCATACAGAGAGCTTGTGGAAGCACCTCCCATTGAGGAGGACAGTAAGTGCAAAAGCCCTGAGGTCAATGTGTGTTTGATATGTACTCAGAGCAGGTAGGAGCTGAGGTTCTGGTGTTGAATGCCTCATAGCACTTTCAAAGGACTTCATTCTGAGAGAGCTAGAAAGCCAATGAAAGATTTAGGTCATTAGAAAGGTTTTTTTTTTTTTTTTAACATAATATGAAAATGTAAACATTCATAACAAAGAAAGATGGCTTTTAAGCCAGAGGAGTGCCATTTTTTGGCATGCAAAGTTACATTTTAATCACCCTGACAAAGGGGCCATTGAGTGGCCTGAGCACAGCACAGAGGGCCACAGTGGACTATGGAAACACAGATTAGTTTAACAAATGACTCATTATGGCAACCCTTTCTCTAACCCCAAAGAGGTGATGACAGAGGCAGCTCTGTGAAGTAAAACTCCTTCTTTAAAAACCAATCACTGTGTGTTCTCGGGCATAAGTGGAAGGCCAAAAAGTTGAATCTTACAGAAGCAGAGAGTAGAGCCCTGACATGGCGGGAAGAAGTTCCACTGTGCTACAGCACAGTAGGGTAACTGTAGTTCACAGCAATTTATTATAGATTTCAAAAGCTCCCAAGAAATGCTCAATTTTTAAGGAGATAGAAATGCTAATAGCTCCGATTTTATCATTACATATCATGCATGTGTATCAAATTATCACACTGTACCCCATAAGTAAATTCAATTACTAGCCCTGCATAGTGGTTCATGCCTGTAATCCTGGAACTTGGGAGGCTGAGGTAGGAGGATTGCAAGTTTGAAGCCAGCTTGGGCTACATAGTGAGACCTTGTCTCCAAAAAAATGTTCAATTACTGTCAGTTAAAAAGAAAAAGAAAGCCAAATGATCTAGCTGGGGAGTGTGTGTGTATGTGTGTGTGTGTCAGAGAACACTTTGGGTGTTTGAAGGACAAAACAGATCTTACAAAAAAATCCCATAGTCAAAAATTAGTCAATTTAAAAACAGAATATTAAAACTAAACACAAGTCAATCCTTTAAAGAAATTAGGCCAGGAAAACTTATCTTTTCCACGGACACTATATCAGGGCTTCCTAACCTAGAGTTCACTGACCCATGTGAGGCTTTCGAGGGTGTTCTAGACCGAGTAAGCTGCATGCCAAGGGTGGGGTCCACAGCACGTATTAGAGTGTGGAGAGTGGTCCCTTATTCACAACACAATAAAAATAGTTAAGAAGAATAGCTCTTGCATTTTGTATTTGCTGTGCATCAGGTACTGTGCTAAGCACTTTACATGAATAATCTTATGTGTTCTTACAATAACCCTGTGAGGTAGGTCCTATTAGGATCCATAGTTTATAGTTGTAAAGGATCTGAAAAAACAGAGAGGTCAAATGACTTGTCTACAGTTACACAGCTTGAAAGTGGGATCTGGATGTAAACACCATCAGAGGCTTTTACTCATAACCACTATTCTGTGCTGTTTCCAAAGATGGGGGCCTGTCACCTTTTGTAACTAACAGATTTCTCCAGTCTTTCCTGCCAAGAGTTGGTTCACTTCTATAATGCCTTCCTCAGTAGAATGATTCTGTATTTCCCAAAGTGCATGGACCCACTCAGCTATCCCATCACTCAGCTCCCAGCATGCTCTCCAAAAGCTGTGGTGCCATGGAGAAGAGGAATTGAATAGAGCTGAATGAGAATACCTCCTCCTTCTGGTTAAGACTTTCTCTCCTGGCATTGTCTCCAGGAGGGCCTGCACCTTACTTGGGTTTCTCTGAAATCTGGAAGGACAAATTCATGGGAAATGCAAGGAGTCTTCACTGGATTGCTGCAGAGAAAGGTTTCCACATCCCATCAGGATATGACAATATTGCAACAGGCCTGGCACCCACCCCGGTTTCCAAGTGATACATCACCCTGACAGGGCCACGTTGTTCTGCAGACAAAGAGTGGCATTTACCCAGCAGGCCACAAGCAAATCTCATTCTTAAATGGTGTCCAGGAGAGGACAGGGCCATTATTTCAGAGCCAGGGTTGAATTCAGAAAGACCCACATGTCTTTCAGCATTTTGGCTTCAACCATTGTTTGTCCGTTCCACCCTAATGCAGAATCAAGTACATTGGGGTTAAGGCACCTTTGTGAATAAGATGAAAACCTTGGATACTCTTCCCCAAAAAATGCACGAATATGTACACTTGTGAAATTTTGTCAATAATTTCAGGGGTTCAAGGCCCATTTAGGAGTTCATCAACTATAGACTAAAAACCCCTGGATTAGGTGAACCATGGGGAAATTTTCTCTTTGAGATGTCAGTCTTTTGCCCACCCAGTTTAGGAAAGATTAAAAAAAGAGAGACGATGTCCGCCAATAAAAATGTTCTCATCATTACATGAAGAATAAGCAGTCAAAGGCAAAAAGAAAAATCTAATTTTTTCCTGTCCCCTCTTCATGTTCCAATGTGCAGGAGCAAGCCACAAAATCCCTGCCCTAGTACTAAACTCTTTTGATCCACAACCTCACTTTAATACAACCAGCCTCTCCTCCCCTGTCCTCCCCACTGCCACAGAAATAAAAGCAAGCCCGTTGAAGTTAGCCATGTGGTTGAGTGAGTCATTGTTTAAAATAATGGCTGGCTCTGGGGAGGTAGTCCAGCCTGCCTTTCACTTACTCCCCTTCCTAGACCTCAGGACCAAGGCCTGTGGGGTCCAGGCAAGTGCAGTAAGAAGCCACAAGTTTATGATACAAGTGTGAGAGAGAGATCCTGACTGCAGCTAAGTTACTTCACAAGAAACAAAGATTAGAAGCATTTGCATATGATTCAGCTGTGAGCCATTTCTTTACGGGATATACAAATTTCAGCGTTCTAATAGACCGTGCCACCCTAGCTTGCGGCTCAACAAGTCAGTAGATAAACACATCAAGCCTGAGTTGGCATGACTGGCTCAGGACTGTGGAGCAGATCTGAACACTGGCAGCGGCCATTTTATGAAATAGTCTGATGACAGGGAAATCAAAACAAAGCCTGCTTCCCCACCTGTGCTATCACAGAGGCCATCAGTTTACAGGGAGCCTCGCCTTAGCTTGGCTTGAACTTGCATTAAAACATAGAAAGATATTTACCTGCATTCAATTTTATGGGAGCTTTAAATGCAAAGACTCAGGCAGATGGCAAAGGTCTTTTGGGACATTCTGGTCCCATCCAGTAGAGACTAAACTACTTGGAAAGGAACTGGCCCATACAAGTCTGTAATTAATATACTACTGACGGGCATGTTACTCTAACTGCAGACCTTGAATTGATTCTTTAGGGAATAATTCTGATGGTCGATCACACTTTCTAGTCTGTTACAATCACAGGAGTGAATGGGAGACAGGAAAAGGAGAACAAAGGGAGGTCAAGGTGAGCATATCCATTAAACTCATTTTCAGGACTGTCTGGAAATACAATAGGTGGACTCAGGAGCTAGCAATCCCCTGTTACTGCAAATGAACAAGCAGAAATTGATCCCTGAAACCCCAGTAGATTCTGACATTCTAGAAGGATTAGGTCAAGTCACACAAAAGGGAAAGAGACCTTGCTGTGAGGCAGTAGAACCCTGATGATGGCTTTTATGTTTCCCAGGAACCTACAGACCTAACAACCCCTGAGCCTCAGGAAGTGACTAGTTCAGCTTTATTCTTAGTTGGAATCTTTTGCCATAAGTCAAAGACCCAACAGGAAAGACTGGGAAGTGACACCTTAGGAAGCTCCAGAGGAAATCACAGGGTGACATGGGTTTCCTCGGCCCTGGAGTCCTGAGTCTTGACTGGGTGGTAACGATTGCCACAGGAATTTTACCCAGATGGGCTGTGCCTCCAGAGTGGCAGAAACACTGCATGGCCTTTCCAGTGTTTGCTCTGCTTCCGAGTTTCAACAAACGACTTGGAGTGACACATAAACGAAGGGCTGCTGGAGGAAGGGGGATGTAGAGAAATGAATTGGCCTCAGGTCTCAAGCCCAGTTCCAGAAGCATTTACACTGGCTCCTAGCCCTGTCTCATTCAAGGGGCTTGACCCAAACAAAACCTCAAACCAAAAGTTTTCATTATTCCAGTTCTCAGGAACACACACTCAACAAAAGCAAAAAGGAGAAGAAGGGTTGTTGTTTAATTCCATGCTTTCTTTCACAAGACTGATTAAAGCCCAGTTCTGAAGTTGCCTAAATCTAATTCCTAGAGAACACTTCCCTGGCTCCTAGACCTCCTAAAGAGGTCTAGAAGTTGGCACCACGTTAAGGGACAACACAAAATCTTGTATTTGACTACACGGTACCTATTATCTGAAAGCCCTTTCCCAGACTTCCAATGTGCCAATCCTGTCACTTGGTGTAACCTTGACTAAGAGACATGATGACCCTCAGTCACATCCAATCTTAACCAAATACAGCTTTCGTGAACATAATTCATACAGTGCAGGTGCTCTGACTGACTAGAGAGTATAGGGAACCATCAGGAGTCGATGTAAAAACTGAGATCCAGAAAGGGGTTCCAGAAAGTTCCACTGGCTATTCCTCCATTCAAAGACCATCACCACAGGCTCAAAGACCTCTGGATTCCACTGTTGCACAGTCTTTCTTGAAAGTCAAATGTAGTTTGAAATTAAAGTTTGAATGAAGTTGAAAATTAAATATAGCTTTCTCCCAATTTTATCAGGCATGTTCCAAGAGCAATTTTTATTGTTGTTGTTGTTGAAAAGAGAAGAAAACACGAACAACTTTTATTGTCAGAAGAGAGTAACTCTTTCACAGAAAATAAACATTTCCCCTAGAGGAATCCCAAAGATGACCATCTTTAGTGTATATCATATCTCTTTGGTATATAAATATTGGTTCAAAAGCACACTTATTCATATAAATGGCAACTCAATTCCTTCCCTAGGCTTTTAATGAGAAAAACTCCAAGCAAGTGAAAAGTAGCATGATGGGAATTCTCATTAATTTCAGTACACACTTGTACTAGGCACATCCAGCCTCCAGTGTCAGGACAACTTACCGACAGGAAGGTGGCCAGTGGTTGTCATGGAGATCTGGGCCCGGCAGAAAGATTTGCTGTCCAATAAATCTGTAGCAATGAACAGATAAAGGGCATGAAGAGCCCCTTTCTTACCACACAACACTATGACTGTCAGTTAAAACATTGTAAAAGGATCTTCAGAGCTGGGGAGTTAGTTACCTACTGTGCTACCATAGTTGGTGTCGTATAAATAGTTTTCTTCTTTCCAGGTATTCATGATGGAAGGGTCTACAAAGAGCAGAAGATGAGAAAAGTCAAGGTTCCTTATCTCCAGGGTGAAGAACCTGCCTCTCAAAGATGCATGGGGGTAGAAAGAGGCCCTCCAAGAGCAGGGACAAGTGTCTACTTGAGCCGCAGTTTACTTTATAAAAATGTTACCCAGTTTTTCTTTCAAAGTCATGGAGGAAATGGCTAAGTTACAGTCCTATCCTGTGAGCCAGGCCTGTTGCATTTTCAGGGCAGCAAGAGGTTGCAACAGTGGAAACCTGTCCTAGACCAACACTTTGGTTTCCTATGAATTTTTCCATCCTAACACTGTCTTTTCTTACCTCCTACTATTTAATCACCAGAATATTTTTACCCTCTAGTGAAGAGACAAATAAATACATCATAAATGATGAATGTGCATCTTTTCCGTAAAGATCATCCTGGAAGAATTGATAATGTTTTATTCAAAAAAGGTCTTGTCAGTCTTATCAGTGTCCTCACTGCTTAAGGACATCAGTGTCTCCCTTCAAATTGAGTGACAGTCCCCTTCTTTTAGGGTTTCTCCAATTAGTTTAAGGGGGTGGCATAAAATTCTCAAAACAAAACCAAGGAGAACGAAGAGAGTGTTACCAAATCACATGAATAGCTTTTATGAGTGGGGCGCATTGCCTCATCTCTGGGAAAGAAGTGCTCGTTCTCTCACTCACTGCTCTTTCTCCTGCATGCTATGTAAGCACATCTCACTCTGACTGACTCTTCACATTTCAGATTTGAAGGAAACTCCCCTCCACCTACCCTAAATGAAGTCCAACTCCCACGTAACCCCCAGATCTGGGCTAGTCTCCAACATAAGCATTTTCTTATGCTTATTTCTAAGCCAAGAGATCAAAAATTTCTCACCTTGTTCCCCTACCCAGAAACTTCCTATCTTCCTTTTACCCCAGATCCAGGCTGCCCTCAGCTCCCCTCCTTCCCAGGTTCTGAGTTTGAGGGCTGGGGTGGTAAACCACTGGTCGAGTTTCATTTTGTTTTTATAGCATAAATTGTTTAAAACCTGACTCACTGTCTAAGTCCTCCTGTTTACGACATAGGGATTTAGCTGGTATTTTAACTAATAGATACGTGTTTGGGCACCCCAAGCCCAATCTCTTGGGGTTACACCCTCTTTGTTGGGTCACCTCGTACACCTGTTGTTGTCTCTGAAAACAAACCAAACCAAAGAGGTTTGGGGGTGTTGGCCCCTCCATGGCCTCTTCTCCCCTCCTCCCAGGGTGGACCTTCTCCGCCCTTCAGCTCAGTTGTTCTGAACTGGCAACACGAGAATGTCTGGATGCTCAAGGAGGATTATCAAGTTCTTTGGGACCTCTCCAATATCATTCTGGCTCCTCCAATGGGGCTATCTGCAAGGTCAAGGCCATCCTCTTAACCAAGGCTGACTCCAGGACTAAGGTAGACCTATAAAGCACAGAGTATCCAGGTAACCCATCCCCCAGTCTCCAGAGAGAAGGGCAGGGCCAGGAAGACCTAATTAACATGCTTAGCAGCTATTGTTTTTTCTTTAATAATGGTAGACCAGCCCCCTTATAAAAGAGTAAATAACTGCATGGGCTAATTTTGGTGCCAAATGACTCACAAATCACCCCCAGGTCAAATTCTGTCCTTGGTGACTGGCACGCAACCCTCAGGGAGACCTGTGGTAAACTTGGTCAGCCCACAATCTGCCTGATGTGGACCTAGGGAGTAACCCAGGAGCAATGGCACTTGAACAGTTTTATCATGGATGTGAACTTTAGGAACAGCTTCCACAAAAGAGATTTAGGACAGAGGAAGGGGAACAAAAATGAATGTAGATGCCATGAGAGTATAGACTATATGTTCAAAGCCCAGGATAGAACCTTTCATGTGAAAATACCTGCAAAGCAGGAGTTGGGTTCCATAGCTGCTTTGAGACATCCCTCTGGAAGCTTCTGGAGCCCCAGAAACTATGCTAACTGCAGCTCCAAGTCAGCACCTCCCTCCTTCTTGTGACACATACGCCCATCAAGGAGGAGAGAAGAGGAGACACTGGCTCTCCCTCTTCTCTTCTCTTGCTTTTGTTAACTTGACCATGTTCAATCCCCCTAGTCTTTTTCTCAGCTACTCACCTGGGTTCTGGATGATACCCTGAACAGTAGGAGGAAGGAGAGAAGTGTGAGGAGCTCACTGGCAGTTTTGCGTCAGACGTGTTTGGTGGTCACTGATCCCAAGGGCAAGGGAAGAGGTTCATGGTAGGGTGGCCCATCAGAGACAGGCAGGAAAAGTGGCCTCCCTGAGTGTCCTGCCAAAACCTGCTCCCACACTCTCTCCTGTGCTCCCTCAGTTGTTCTCCCCAAGGCTTTGCCTGGCCAAGTTGGCTCCCTTCATCTGTCATACTCACCAGTTTGTTCAGTCTTGACAATGACATTGTGTGTGGATTGGAACAAGTCACTGCTGCACTGGCCTGTGAAGGACAGATTGGGAAAGTCAGAGAGGGCCCAGATGGAACCAAAACTTGTAACGATGGAGCTGCTTAAACTTCTGCCATCTCACGTGCCTCCCATGTCACTTACGGGAGGGTCTTCCCTCTCAGCCTCTTCACACTCAAACCTGGAGACCGACCCTGGCCTCAGAGAATCAGTAGTCTAGGGAACTCCCATCAGCTGTAATTATTTGGCACAGTAGAAGGAAGATATTCAGTATAGTGGACATAAAATGTCAAATGTCAAATACCAATTTTTCCATTACTAGTTATTGGTCACCATTCTGGTCTCAGTTTCCTCACTTGTAAGTTTAGGGGATTAAAATAGAGTCCCTAGATGACCTCTGTGGCGTTTTCCCATACTAAGACATGATATGAAATGAAAACAGAAAGAGAAAATCATTTTAATTTGATTAGCTAGATTCTCTGTTGATCTTAAATTTAATCAAAACCATCTTGATTAGATCCAGTCTCTAAGAAACATCTGGATAAAATGCATTAAATCTTCTCTTATTAATGCCGTCAGCACTCATACAAGCAGTGCATACCACATATCCGTGTTTATATTGACTGTAAAATTACACATATATACATGTGAATGAATCTAGAATTTTTTTCCTCCCCAGAGTATGAGCATTTCAGGCACAGAGGTCATGCCTCTGACCTCTGTAACCTTCAGATTTCCCATCTATATAATCGGTACGATATTTATTTTGTCATCAGGTCATTAAATGAAACAACTCATTTACAGCACCTAGTATAAGTAAAGCTCAAAATAGAAGCAAACAACAAAACAAGGGTGAGAAATCTGGTCTTTAGGCACTCAGAGGCAACAGCAGCATGTGGTGAGACCAAACTAGACATGAAGGTCAAAGATGGCCACTGCATCTCCCAAGCCTCTGCCTCAGGCTTCAATCAGGGCAAAGCTTTAAAAGAGTGGACTTAATTGGAGGTACGGAGGTAAATATTTTTAATTCTTCAAATGTAAGTCTGTTCTTTCTGAAGGTTCCTGGGGGTTATTTATAGAGTCTTGTTTGGTTTGGTTCTAGTAAAAGAAAAATGAGCAACCGCTGCTGTGAGAAAGGTAGGAAGAAAGGAGTGCCAAGGCACTGAATGAGGTCATCCAAAATGGCCACCACAGCTGCCACTCCACTGCCAGACTCCTATGTCCTCAGTGTTGACAGCAGCTGTCAGGGTCAGACTCTGGTTCACAGCCCTGGAGCTTACATTTCCTAAGCCAGAGTTACTTGCTCAAACATAAACGCTCTGCTGAGACATAAATGTCTTTTCCAATGGGAATAGGCTAGCTCACTACCTTTAAACATTCCTGCTTTCAAGACTCAGGGAGCTAGCTTTTTACAACCATCACAAGAACCTTATGCCAGTGTCAAGGTCATTCTGCAAGATGAGTGTCTTCCCAGCTGGGTTCCACAGGTCAGTGTAGAGTGTGTGAGTGTGGCTAAATTATCTACAATAGACAGCATTTGGAAGGGTGGACTGTGTGCCAGGTAAGGCCTTGGGAGAGACACGTGAGGTTTTAGACAGCCTTAATTCTAAAAGTCACTGAAGAAAATATCCTACATGTGTCCAAACCATTGGTTCCAGCCTTTTCATTCTTTTTCTTTCATTCTCTCTTTCTTTCTTTCTTTTCTTTCTTCTCTCTCTCTCTCTCCCTCCCTCCTTCTCTCCCTCCCTCCCTCCCTCTCTATGGAACTTCTAAGAATTTGCCAAGCTGGGTGCCAGAGTGTCTCACACCTGTAATCCTAGCTACTCAGGAGGCAGAGATCGGAGGATTGTGATTCAAAGCCAGCCTGGACAATCAATTTGTGATATCCTATGTCAAAAAAAAAAAAAACCTATCACAAAAAACTGTTGGAGGAGTGGTCAAGGTATAGGCTCTGAGTTCAAGCCCCACTGTTGCAAAAAAAAAAAAAAAAAGACTTGCCAAAAATTTGTGAGCCTTCTCCCCCACACAACCACACAGATCTAATTTCATGTATCTTCTTACTACCTAAGACACCCCCCTCTTACTACCTAAGACACTTCCCCCGCCCCGTTTTAAGATCCTAGGGCTAGACCCTGTGTGGTGGTGCACATTTGTAATCCCAGCAATTAGAAGGCTGAATCAAAAGATCAAGAGTTTGAGGCCAGCCTGGGCCTTTAAGAAGATCCTGTCTCAAAACCCAAAAGAAAAAAAGGGAAAGAAATCCAAGGTCTAGAAGGTCTGTTGTTTGTTAAGTGGCTAAGCAAATGATTGGGAATTAGTTATTGAACCCTGTTGGCAACCATAAAAGAAGTTTCTCTTGGAGTAGAAAATTATATATATATATATCCAGCCAGCCCTGAAAATGAATATAGCCACAAGAGAGAGCTAAATTCCATCGGACACACTTCCTACCCTAGGCTATGCTCCATCCTCTCACCTCCCTTCTATTTCCTTGTCTTGAGAGATGGTCATTTGGAGGTGAGACCATCCTTTATCTTCCCTGACAAGGAGCCTGGCCAGCGCAGAGCCTGTGTGTGTCGTGGTCGCCTCTCACCATTCCACTTAAGATGCTGCAAGTTACTGTAGAGAGCTGGCCGGCTGAGCCCGCCGCCCGTGTGAACTCCTGGAGGCTCATGCTGCACAAGTGCTCGCCGTTGATGTCGAACTCCTGGAAGGGGATGCAGCTGGCATCCAGCTGGTTGGTGTCCAAGAGGTGCTGGAGCCACTCCCACACCTGGTATTTGGTCCAGTACTGAGGGTGGATCTCATGCCACTGACCTCCAAAAAACCCGCTGGAAACTGCAAAACAGAAGGGGGCCCCATGAGTTGCCCAGTTCTTCCTAGGCATAGTCTCAGAAACGGGAAGGCATTACTGGCTATCAGATGTCATGGGGAACACAACCATGGTCTGTATGTAGCACCATGGGTTCTGAAACACGAGGTGGGCACTGGAGAAGAGGCTGATAATGTGGTTCTTTACCCAGCTGTGGCAAGGCCATTCTCATCCCCGAGCATGCAATAAAGACACAAGATCCAAAGTGCTCTGAGCTCACCACCCTCCCCCAAACTAAAGTAGCATGAATGCTAAGCATTGCTGTAGATTCAGCAACTCCTTAGTTTATTACCCACACCCAAATGTAGTCATCCATGAGGAGACGATTCAGGAGCCCTGTGATACCAAAATCTGAGGACGTTCAATTCCTCTGTATAAAATAGTGTAGTATTTGTGTATAACCCACACAAATCTTCTCATATACTTTAAATCACCTCTAGATGACTTGCAATCTTAATAGAATGCAAATGCTATGGAAATAGTGGTTACACTGTATTATTTTAGAAATGAAGGCAAGAAAAAAAAAAAAAAAACATCTGTACTTGTATAGTGCACACACAACCATTGTAGACCTGGCTATATTTCTGATCTGTGGCTGGTTGAATCTACAGATGAAGAAACCCTCAGATATAGAGGGCCTGCGGCACTCTCTCTTTCTCTTTCTCCCCTTCCTTCATTACACCCCCACATCCCTATAAATATACATACATATATGCCCCAAATTCAACCAAAAATGAAGAGAAATTAAAGTTCTTTTCTCTCTGATGCCTTCGCATCTCCCTAAAATGGTCCAGACTATTCATCTGCTAACTGACATCCCACTGCCCCTGGCTGGTCACTAGCGGCTATGATGTCACTTCTCTTCTCACTTACCTTAGTGGCTCCCCATTACCCACTGAAATTAGATATAAATCTGCTGGGCTAGACATTAGGGTCTTTGCTATTTTTTAAGTGATCTGACTCTTGTTTCTTTTTCTGTGCTGTTCTTTATGCCCTCCTGCTCTTGTGGAATTCTTACCTCCCTTTCAAATTCTGACCACTCTTCTGACCATCATTACTTCCCCTACATACTTCGAACGTTTCATGTTTGGGTCTCCAGGGACATGCTTGGGATTTGTCCCAGTGGCCTCTGTCGTGTTCTGCTTATTTACAGATCTCTAAGTCCTGGCTTCATCTCCTTTGTAAATTGTACACTCAAGGTCATAGACTCTGTCTTGCTCATCTTCATATAAAGACGCCTCAGAAACCATGCCACAGTGGAGGCTGGTACGAATTTATTCAACAGAATTTTTTTCTGAAGAAATATGGAAGCATTGTGGGCACTCTCAAGATGGTTAATTTAGATACCAGTGAAGAAGGGAAGTTCATAAAGTCAATAAATACTATAGGCCCTGTTATGTGCTAACCATCTGCAATATGTGATTCTCTATGCTCACTTAAAAGAGCATCACATAGTCTGCCCAAAGTCATGGGGCTTGGGGGAGAGAGCCAGCCCATGGGACCAGGTTATAGGACTGAGAGATCTTATAGTCAGTCCCTTGAAAGCAGAGGTCAAGGTGGAGCTCTCTAAGAAAGGTGAGGGGCAGGTCTAAGTGGAAGAAGCATTGCAGGCCACCAAGCTGAAGCAAAGGCAATACAACTGAACGTGACACAAACTCAAGATACGGAGGAAAAGGCATTTTTGAAGAAACTGCCCTAACTTGCTTCAAGGTCATGCTAGTCAGTACTTCTCACGAGTCACCAGGGAATACTGCTCAAGCACAGACTGTGATTCAGCAGTTCTGGGGTGAGGCCTTCCTAACAAGCTTCACTGTGATGTTGACGGGGCTTGTGCTGTGGAGCGACAGGGTGACACAGGGCCCAAGGCTCAACACCCATAGCACCCATGACCTGGTCCTCAACACGCCAGAGGAGAGCTGAAGGGGGAACATTTCTAGCCCACCTCTCAAAGTTCATCCTCAGAAGCAACAAGAGCAGATCAAGATCCTGAGGGTACAAAGGTGGCCGTCATTGGTAATGTATACCACTCACTGGATGGGCTTCGTACCTCATACGTCATGGCCAAACAGACATGGCCCTAGACCCTCAGCATGGGCCCTAAAGAGGTGGCCAGTAATGGGGGTAGAGGGTACAGATTAGAAATATCTAGTCCAAAAATTTAGTTGTACAGAAATATTCCCAGATATGCAAATGCACAGAGCTTAGATTAGAGGTATCCATGTTTCATGAATACAGCTATTTAAAAATGGGATATATTTTTAGGGCTCCCTAAGCCTTTGATTTTTTTTTCCCTAAAATTATTGTGTTGCTCTAACAGTGCAGCTCTGAATTTGCCAACAAAAGGCAATAACTTTCAATAATCCAAAGACAGGCCTAGAAGACTCCCTTCTGCACACTCAATATGATTTCTGTTGAAGGTAGTTTCTGGGTCAGGCTTGGTAGCATATGCCTGTAATCCAAACTACTCTGGAGGCATAAGTGGTAGGATGGTGGACTGAGGACAACCATGGGCAAAAAGCATGAGACTTCTGAAAAATAACTAAAGTACAAAAGGGCTGGGTGTGTGACTTGAGTGATAAAGCTCCTGCCTTAGCAAGTGTGAGGCCTGGAGTTCAAATCCCAGTACGCTAAAAAAGTTTTCTTTTTGAAGAAAAGGTAGTTTCTGATATTGCATTCTGTTCAAACTTGGGAGATATGTGGGCTTTTGCCTGACGCTGGCTGAGAAAAGATATCTCCATAGAGAACTCATCAGATTCCCATGTTTCAGTAGAAACACTCAAAATCCGATGAGTTCTGACCTTCTCTGTCATTCAGCTGACCTCCCTGTCTTTTCAGACTTGCTAAAGAGTGGGGGGGGAATCTTCTTTAGGGTTTGTAGAGCTTAAGAAGTAAAAGTAGCACCCAAGTTATACTCCCTGCTAAAAGGCATTAGTCCTGCTTCCTTCCAAACAAGTAGGAGGAGCAGTGCCTTCACCAAAGTCCTGGGACCTGGATGCCCAAGATTTCCTACTCAATTTAGAAGTGTCCTGCTAGGACCCACTACAAACTCTGGAATGCCCAGAAAGGGAGCTGCTTGCTGGGACAGGTGATGGAATAAGGTAAGGGCACCTGTTCACACTTCCTCCATCAGCCTCTCATGGGAGAAATAACCCTTCCATTATTCTCCTGACTCCTGCTTTTTAGGCTCTGCTCCCTCATAGGACATGTCTGTGTTTCAAGGCAAACAAGAGCAGCAGTTTCTGATGGGGGGAGTAGCAGCAGGTGTGGGCTGGGATCAGTCCCAGAGCATCTGAAACTCAGTGCAGCAAACGCCTTCACAGTGGGTTGTGGAGCCCTGGTTTAGCAACAACTTTTTTTCTTCCTTCAGCTTCTGCAGCAAGCCACTGGCCTGATTTTCAAACTCTCTGCAAGCCTTGCCACCAGGTCTTCCCTCTCTCTTTGAATCTGTATGTTCTAGATCAAAGCATTAAGGGCAGCACCTGGTCCCCTGATCACACTCTCCCCTTACATAGGAAGGCCACCAGAAGATGAGCTGGACAGTTTAAGCTGCTAGAACCTCCTTAACCTCCACGCTTGCATGTTCTGTAGATACACACAAGTGCTGGCAATATGCACACACATCTCTCCCCTATCCTACCTTTCTGTGTGTAGGTTTGATACTGGAGGTTAAGTCCCTTGGTATACTGGGCAAGCCCGCTACCACTGAGCTATGAGTCCAGCCCAAAGTACTCAGCCATTTAATTTTAAAGAAATACACTTTGTGCCAGAGGCAGTGTTTTAGGCTTACAATCCCAGTTACTTGGAAGGCAGAGATTGTGAGGATCATAATTCCAGGTCAGCACAGGTAAAAAGTTAATGAGACCACATTTCAATTGATAAACTGAATGTGGTAGTACCTGCCTGTGATCCCAACTACAAGGGAGACTGCAGGTAAGAGGATCATAGCCTGAGGCTGGCCATGGGTTAAAAAATACAGGGGGGGAAAAAAAGAACACATCAGACCCTACCTGAAAAATAATCAAAGCAAAAAAGAACTGGGGCATGGCTCTGTCTTAAGTAGTAGTGCAACTGCTTAGCAAGTGTGAGACCGAGTTTGAACCCCAGTACTGTAAAAATGGGGACTAAATTTTTGTTAGACCAGTATTATTCCCACAATACTGGAAACTGAACCCAGGGTCTCTCACATGCAAGACAAACACACTACCACTGAGCGAGCTGTATCTCCAACCCTCTGCACCCTATCACCCTGTCTTGAAATCCCAGCCAAAGGTCTTCCCTTCCTCTTCTACCACCCTGAGTGCATGGCTGCCAACCTGGAACCTTGTACTTCAGGAGCAGACTGTAGAAAATCTACAGAGTTCCAGCATTAAGAGAGAGTACCCTCAGGGCTGAGGGTAAAGCTCAGCGGTAGAGTGTGTACTTAGCATGCACAAAGCCCTGGGTTTGAATCCCAGCAGTGAAAAAGAGGTGGGAAGGTTCTTCCATTCCCCTCTGCTCCCCAGGTCCTCTGCTGAATAAAGTCTGTATTTTTCAACTGCACACAGGCAGTGACGCCCACACCCACGAAGCCCTTACCATTGCACGTGGGGTAGCTGTCCGTCCAGGCTGACTGCTGGTGTAGGAGGTTGTTGCCTGGGTTGAGATTCATTACACCACTTCCTTCCAGAATCATGGTCTGCAAAGGATCAGACAGCTGGTCAGTCAGCGCCTCATGGACAAACGTCACCGAAGAGCACAGATCATGGTGTTAATTTAGGGGGGAAAAATATGTTCTGCTCATGGCCACAGTCTTTTCAGTAAAAGCAAACCTCATGGCAATTAAAAATTTCCAGGTTTGACTTTCATATGCATGAGGCAAGTTTTTACAGCCACCCATTCATAAATGAATAATCCCTGATCAGGAATGAAGCAGAAGAAAATGCAATACCTGCTCCAGGGCAAGTCTGGCCAGCGTCCAAGTATTTTACAAAAGTGAAAATGCCAGGGAGATTTTCTTTAAAGTGGAATTTGGATCAATGAAATTTCAGACCCAGCACCTATCTGGGAACTTACTGAAATCAGATGTTCACGAATTCCCACATGCTCAGGTGGCCCCACACCTGGGGACCCAATAATGCCCCCTCAGTGCCAAGGAATGGGCTGGTCATCTAAGGGCCTCGGTCTTATTTTAGGATAATTTCATAAATATTTTGGTTTTGCAATATGATTTTGTTTCCCTCACAATACCTCCCTGTTCTGGCAAAGATGATTACACTTTCCTTTATGTTTTTATTTTGAAATTTTTTTTCCTTTTTGATGAAAGTTTTCATGGGCTTTTCTTCTGCTAGAGATCTGAAGATTTCAACCAGCTTTGAACCTGACATCAAGGTGACTTTTTTGGTCTTCAGGAGTCATTTTCTCAAAGGACCCAGTAAAAAAGCTTTCTTCCCTGTGCCTGTCTGGAATTTTTTAACAATGTAGGAATTTTAATTTTTTACACTGTAGGAATACTCCCTTCAATCCTCCAACATTTATGACATGTCTACCCCCGTGCTGGGCACCCACCGCCTTTCAGATCAGAGCCTCAGGGGTGTGTGCGATCATTTGAAGGAAGGGCAGGCTTTTTCTAGAAACTTAGTGAACATTACCCAGAGGCTGTAAAAAGTCACTTGCTCTTTATAAAATGTTGAGGTGGGGACAGGAGTCAGCACCTGAAGATCATGGAAATTTTCCTGCCTGTTTTAGAGAAATTTTGCATCCTCTTGTGTAACCAATGTCCATAGACTAGAATTGTCCTATAGGCTAATTCTAGCCTGGACACCCAGCACCCTTCTTAATTGAGCATTGTTTCCCTGGTTCTGTGTAATACCTGGGGGTGGGGACCTGGAAAGGCATAAAGTGAACTTCTAGATTCATTTATTCAACACATATTCATCAGCTCATTGAAGGGCTGGGCGCTATTCTGGGTACCAGAGACAGAGAGGTGACTAAGGGTTGAACCAGGCCAGACAAGAACATTTATGATGGTCATTCACACTGTCATCATTGTTGCTTGGTGAAAAATTAGCCTTGAATACAACTTAAGTGGAAGGCGAAGAAGGAAAGACAGGGTATGAACAAGGGCCATCGTGACAGCGAAGAGGTCCCTGTGTGGGAAAACAGGAGAGCTGGAGTCTCTGTCCTGATACCAGATTGAGAGGCTTTTCGAGACTAGGATTGCTGAGGCTCACTCCAAGCTCTGTCACTTACTTGCTGAGGTTAGTCCTAACTCACGCGGGTTGCTTAACCTCTCTGAACCGGGTTCCTCCTTTGCAAAATGCAAATAATCAGATCCAGCCTGACATCAGTTGGTGATCAAATGAGTTTCTATACCTTGAGCACCTGGCACAAAGCAGGGCACAATTAAGTAGGACAGGTGTGACAATGAGGAAAGTCACTAGCTGTCTGGATAACCTGAACCAGAAACACCACTGAGCCTCAGCTTCCCCATCTGAAAATGCAAAGCAGGTGACTAAACTGATTCTGAAGTTCCCTTCTGGAAACTTCTTTGATTCTCACCTTCGGGGAAGAAAAGCCTACTCTGGTCAACGCCCCCCCCACCTCCCCCCAACACACCCCTTTCTTTTTTATGATAACTAGGCATTTTCCCAGCCAGCTTTCCAGAGCAATTGCCCTAAAGCTAAGAAATCAGTCTGTGGACTTCAAGGCAAAAGACAACCTTCAAGTCCCCAGAAGAGGTAGCTAGGGGAGGGAGGGGAGAGAGCCCTGACTCTTGTTTGCTCAAGGCTGGGCTCCTTCCTGGCCAGCATTTGCTCAGCCACAAGCAGTGGAAAAGTTACTGTTTAACCCTGAGAGGGCTGAAGCTCAGAGCCCAGCCTGTTTGCTGGGAGGGACGGGCAGGCCCTCCAGGCTCCAGGAGGACAGGCAGGGAAAGGCTTCCCTGAAATTCTTTTATGAGGATTCACCTGCAGGGCTGTTTCAAAGTGGCCATTTTCATACCTGACCCTAGCCAAGTATAAGCCACCTCCTCAGCCAGCTCAGGGGTTTGCTTCCTAACTACCAGAAGACAATGTGTTTCAGGAACTAAGTTCCCCACAGTGGAATCAGGAAGATGTAGACTCCAATTCCAGTTCCCCTGCTTACTGTGGATGACCTTGAGTTCCAAAACCTTTCTGATCCTCATTTTTCCCACCTGTAAAATGGGAATATCACCAAACTCAAATCACATGAGGTTGAGTATATAGATAACTTAGCAGACAATAATAATAATAACAATAATATCTCAATATTCAGCTTATGGCCAAAGACTCAGAAGCCCCTTTCCTCAGGCAGGAGTCATTTCTCACCAGAATCTTCTGGAAGCACCCAGAACTAATTCCAAATCACAAAGAAGCACTTAGAATTAGAGGGTCTTAGTTGCCCCATTGCTACCTGCCCCCCAAAGCACTGCTCCCTGCTGGCACCCCCTTTCCAGGGGAAAGCAGCCAGCATGGTGAGGGGCCCTTTTTACAGGGCCTATTAAATGGTTACCACTCATAAAAGAGCTTATGTGGCTTAACCCTTGGTGAGTCAGAGTTCACTGTATTCCCCAGGCTTGTGAACAGAGGAGGTGGGGGTGGGACTTGCAGGGACTCTCAGGGAGAAGGCCTTAGGGTGGCTAGGTGAACCAAGGCCTTTGACCAAGGCCTACCCCCATGAGGCCCAGTTTTTGGAGTATAAAATGAGGACATTTGTCCTTCAGCAGCCTCCCAGGACGGTTGAGGAGATCAAATGAGATAATGGACCATAAATGTACCTTGAGAACTGTAAAAAATCTCTCTTAAACCAACGCACCCACACCCCCATATACTAATATAGACTTTCCATGGTGTATAGTGATTGCTTTATGGGATATAAAAAGCAACCCTTTTAATTAAAAAGGAGGAGGATTATTTAATGCTTGGTTTTCAGCTCTCTACTTACCTTCCCCATAGCTTTCCTTAAAAAAAAAAAAATTTGTATCAAACATGTGAACTAGAGTCTGAAATCCAAGAGGCCCTAGGTGACGTTCCAGGCTGTGTTTCTCAGATATGTAACCTCACATCTGTTGCCTTTCTGAGCCTCAGTTTCTCCACTGGTTTAAATGGTGGTAAGGGGCGTGAAGGGGGCAGTAATGCTGATTTCCTTTAAGCCTGAGGACTGTTTTGCAGGATAAATAATATGGCGTGTTTAAAGGTGTCTAGTCCAGTGCCTGGCACACATGCCTGCCCTAAAAATCACTGTACTTTCCTTGTTTTAAAGAGAAGTTTTCAAGGGTGGGCTTTAACACATTTTACTGCCCCCAGGACTGGGTCTTCATTCAGAGACTAAGAAGGACTGCACTCTGTCACTAGCAAGTTGGGAAAAGGACTCGCTTCTCTCTGTCCTCAGCTCAGACAGGAGATCTGAGGGGCTGGGGTGGACACAGGGGAATTAATCCTCAGCCTCAGTGAGTTAGAAACAGAATCTCTCCATGTTCCCACAACTCAACTTTGAGGCTAAATAACTCTATGTGTTAAAAAATACTAACACCTACTGTTTGTACATATTTATGGGTACAGTGTGATAATTCACACACATATACCATATCTAATGACCAAGTCAGGATAATTACTGTTTCCATATTTTTCAAACATTTATCATTTCCATATGTTGGGAAATTTTGAACTCTTCTTTTTTAGTTGTTTTTAATTATATAACAAATTGTTGTAGATTGTATTTACTCTTCTGTACCTTAAAACACTTGAACTAATTCTTCTTAACTGTAGATTGGTACCTATCTTCCATCTTTTCTCTGTCCCACCTGCTTCTCCCTACCTTCCTACTCTCTAGTGGGCACTACTCTACTCTCTTCTTCTATTAGATCAACATTTCTATCTTCCACAAATGAATAAGGTCATGCAATACTTGTCTTTTGCTGTCTGGCTTATCACTTAACACAATGTCTTACAGTTCCATCCACATTACCACAAATGACAGAATTTCATTCTTTTTTATTGCTGAGTAATATTCCATTGTGCATTGGTACCACAGTTTCTTTACCTATTATTCATCTGTTGATGGATTCTTCGGTTGATTCCAGATCTGTGAATGGTGCTGCCATAAACATGGGAGTGCAGGAGGACCTGGAAAATTCTCTGTTGTGGGGCTATCTATGCACTCTGGGGCGTTTAGCTGCATCTAGAGCCTCTACCCACTAGAAGCAGTGGCATCCATCCCCTCAAATGTCCCTAGAGCAAAATCACCCGTGTCTGAGAAGAGTGGTTAAGAGCAAAGCCTGTTGAGGCATACAGCTGGGGCTTTGCTCTTGCTGGTGTGGCAATCGTGGGCTGTCCTTTTAAGCTGCTATTTCCTTTCCTGGGAAACAGACAGCATTAGTTCCTACCGCACAGGTTTGCTGAGGATTAAACACAATAGGGACTTCTGAGCCTGCAGCACAGTGCCTGTCACACACAGAGCACTTGCCTAATCAGGGGAGGGTTAGGAGCTGCCTCTGTCCCTAGGTGGTATATATTCTGGAAATACAGTGCAAATTGTCATGTGGAATATTAAAAAATGCATATTAAAAAAACCCTAAGTTATATTTCAAACCCAAAGAGTGAAATAAAATGTGGATTAAGCAGGGATTTTAAGATATATATTTTAAGATCTATAGTCTCTTCTGTCCCCTTCAAGGGTAGGAACAGTCAGAGGGAAGAGGATTTGGCTCTGTGTCCCCATCGATGGTCAAGACTTTCACATTAGCCTGCTACGACATACTTCTGTGCACAAGCTCATCAGAATCACCACTGGGATCTTTGTGTATAGAGGGGTGCACAGTCATGCTCGCCAACAGAATAAAGTACAGACAGGTACCTCACACCAGGCTTTCAGCCAGGGCAACAGTGAGTCCACTGCAAACGATGAACAGCAGATCCCTTAAAAATCATAGGCCACTTGAGACTGGCCAATCTGGAATGGATTCTTGTAACAAGGAAGAGCTGTACTGAGTAGCCAAGCCTGAATCCTGGCAGGAGAGACGACCCCTGTGTCTCTCACTGTTCCAATGGACGGTTGGGGTGAACATCATCACCCACAGTGCCCCAAGCTGCTGAGGGTTTAGGCACTTTTGTCGCAGCCACAGTAGACACAACCACGGTCCCTGTGCCCACTCCTTCATCACAGACTTGCTTATCTCCAAAAGGAACACCAGCCCAGCCACCACCACCCAGAAGTTGGATGGACCGTGGCAGATGAAAGGGACTTTCACTTTCACTTGACCTCACCCTGAGGTATAAGAATCTCACATTTTGGCTAGGAGAGGGTGAGACTCAGCCCTAGAGACTGGATGTCATCAGATCTGAGCCTACAGGACATATGCAAGGATATCCAACTCAGCCTTGTCTCTCTGTGTGTCTCCAGAGCAGCTCTGAAAAGCATAAGGGCTGATGACACAGCTGGTGAAGGCTGAAATTCCAGTGATGTCCCTCGGTGGCTGTGTTGACTATGGAAAAGTTCTGTCCCTTCTACAGCTTCAGTTTCCTCATATGAAACTCAAAAAATGGAAAAACATGAAATTGGCGTGAGGATCAAGTGGAAATGCTTGTAAAGGGCGTGGCTTACAACCGCACATATGGCAGATGACATGTCAGTGTTGATTCTTGTGATAGAACAAGAAGCCAGCCTCTCTAAGCTGGGCTGGTTGACTTTGGGGAAAATCTTGGGGTAGAGGTAGACTTCACAGTGATGGGAAAGTGTAAGGGTCAGGGAGCCCTGGGCTCTGTGCAAAAGGCAAGTTTGGACAAGTTCTATAACTTCTGTGGACATCGGTTTCCTCATTCATGAAATGAGTAGGACATGAAAATGGTTGTTTTCCTATGAAAATGAAATGATGCTGTTAAGATGTTTGGAAAAGTTTCTGATGCATAGTAAGTACTTGATAAATGTTACTTGTTTTAATAATAATAATAATAATTGTAGCTCTTCTTCTTCTTTTTTGTTTTTGAAACTCCCAGAAAGAAACTGATGGCCAAGTTCACTTCAAGTATAACTTTACACCTTCATCAAATGTGCAATTCTCTCCAGTCTCAGCCTTTGTTCACAGAAGCCATGCTCGTCCCCTCTAAGCACAGTTCTGGTCCAAGAGACTGCAAGCCATCCTGCCTCCTCCCTTCCTCTCACCAGACACAGTCCCAAGACTGCAAGCGCACCCCAAAGCCCAGGAGGTACCATGGGCTCCACGTTCCCATGCTCCAGGGCTGCTGTGTGGACAGGGAGAGCAGCGTGTGGGAAATGAGAGGTTGGTAGTGTGTAGCCCAGGATTCCTAACAGGGTCCTCTGGCACAGGAATTCTCAATTTTTGCAAATAATAGGATCAGGGATTTGGTTAATAAGCTCAGAAGAGGAAGAAGGAGACGCCCTCTGGGATTCTAGCAGGGTGCTAGCCTCTACATCCCAAAAGCTGGGAGGCTCTGCCCAGTCTCCAGACTCCTTAAAAGACAACAACCACTCAAAGAGCTTCTCTTTCCAGGAGCAATGGACAAATGCAGCCCAACTTGGGCCTGCTCAGCTGGAAGCAGACCTTTCTTTTGCCCAGTGGTGGAGCTACTAAGACCAAGGACCAAATGCTGAAAAAAAAAAATTATAATCATACTATAGTACCTAAAGTTTATTAAACACTTCAAATATCCCAGCTCTGTGCTAATAGTTTTAAAATGCATTATCTCAGTCAATGCTCACAAAATTCTCTGAGGAACTGTGTCATTTAACAGATGGCCTAGCTGAAGCTCAAAGAGGTTAGGTAACTTATTCAAAGTCACACAGCTTAGCAAGAATCGGAGCTAAGAGAGAATTCAGACCCAGAATGTCTGGGAACAAGCCCTGGAAGCTTAGCTGATTTCTACAAAGAAGGAAGTGCTTTGCCAGAGAGAAAAGCTGTCCTCAACCCACCCTCACCCCCACTGCCATTCCTTGCATGATCCCAACATCTCCCTGTACCATCTGCTGCCTTACACCCCTATCAAGCTTATTCACAAATACATAGGCAACCTATAAGCCTAAATAATGTACAGGCTCACCCATGACTCAATCAAGCTGTTTTAATTTTTAATTTGGGAAATAAAGTGGCCAATAATTATATGTGCTTTTCCTGAATTAGACTTCAGGCTGAAGAATATGGCTTGGTCCTGTCACAAGGTTGACGGGACACTGGAAACTTAAGCTGAGCTGATGCCTGCATTTCCTGTCCCCAGCCCTGGGAGACTAAGAGTCAAGACCATGTTGTGCCTTCTTCCCAGATCCCTTCTTCATTCTACTATATTATCCCCAAATTGTCACAGAACTGGCTGCCATGGGACATTTTTACTCCTCAAGCCAGGAGAGCAATTAGGCCTTTTATATAATTGTTTTTATGGTGACAGCAACAGCCAGTCCATCCTTGGTCCTTAATCAAAGTTATTGGCAGGTGAATTCACAGCATTTGCCCTAAGGATGGTGCAAGAGCTCATCAACTTCCTGCTTCAATATGAATGGCATGTCAAAAGCCTCCTCTCAGCTAGGAGAAAAGAAAATCCACATCCATGTGAAACATAGCTGAATACAAGATGGGAAGTAATTTGTGTCTTTACAAAAGAATCAAAATGTGACTCGAGCTTGGGGAATGTATTTGATCTCCTGAGAATTACATCACAGGTCATTTCCTTCCTTCATAATGTGTTTGGAAACGCATTTCATGTTCCTGGGGGCGACATCTGAAGTATTATTCCTGAGGTTTCAAGAATGTTTAGGACCCATAATGCACTAATGGGAAGACACGTCTGGTTCCATTATGGATCCACCTTATTGACTGTAAGCCATTAGGAAATATACATATTATACTGATCTTTATCATTCTTGGTGCCAGACCCAGACAAGATGGCACACACTGACAGTGGCAGGCACCAAAGTTGATCAAAACTCAAGATTGCCTTAAATAACCCACAGGGCCTTTTATCCAGATATGACAAACTATGACAATGAGGACTAGCTTTGAATCTTAAAAGGTCGGAGAGCCTTTTAAGATTCTCTATTCTTAAACCAAATGATCAAAAGGAGAGTGAAGAAGATGTAGCAAAAATACTGCCCTTGCTTCTTATTACAACCTTGGGCTATCATAGGTCCTTCTTAAGGCACAGACTTGGGGAGCCTGGTCCCCTGGGGTCTCCAGAGATGCTTAGTTTCCTACATGGAGGCCATGCACCTGTTTCTCAAGGTCTGAAGAAGCCTGGGATCCACTCACAACTCCAGTCAGAACCTCCCTTTGAATCCTTGAGTGCTCTCACAGTTGGGAATTTCTGGTCTAGAGACTCTCCTACTTGCCTCTCTTCAATGTCTCACCCCAAGACAGCTAACAGCAAGAAATGTCAGCCTTGAAGGAAATGCCCATAACAGCAAGAAAATCCTCCTAAAGTCAGAGACGAAAAATTCATCAGGAGAATTGAAACTCCAATCTGTCTGTGAAGAACCTATTAACCATATTACTTGCCAATTTTCAATAAAATGCTTCCTAATGCTCAGTACCAACAAATTGTCACATTCAGGCCATGTGTGGTTACTGTCAAGTATGCATCTCTGAAGGCTTAAACAATCAGACCACTGAGCATAGCATTTGTAAAGGGTTTCTGTTATGGTTATCCAGCAAGAGAGTGGTTGGCTGGATATCCCTAACCATCCCTAACCTCATCTCACTCTGACCTTAGTCCTTCCACAGCTTACTAAACTACCCAGATGTTAGGCTTCCTACCTAAGAAATTGATATTCAGCAAAGAAACTATCTCTGAGAAACGCTTGTCCAGCTGTTACAAATATTTATTCATCGTATATATGTGTGTCTATATATATTTACCAAATATATATACATTTATCAAATGTCTAATAGACACTCATCACCATGCTAGGTGCTAGAGACACAGTAGTGAACAAAACATAGACGCTGCCCTGTCCTGATGGACAATTAGCCAGGACACACTTCCAAAACAATAGCAACTCTTTCCAAACTTGGCTGAGCTCATTCCCCACCTCCTTGGGAATGGAATGGGACAAGAGCAGAGAAAGCCAGGCAACCAACTCTGGCATTTGGGGATAAGCAACCATGAAAAGAATTTCTACCAGGTTTAAAAGCACAACTGATCCTCTTCCATCCGGCAACCCCACGTCCTTGCCTTTACAGAAAACCCCTGCCAGGACATGGAGTTGGCAGACAGGATAAAGCCTCTGGATTTCACAAAGCAACCTCAGCCAAAACCAATCTCCTCTGGGGCGGAATAAAGCAGTTGGTTGTCTGGATGGCTGAACGTCTCTGCCCAAGACAATGGTGTGTTTATGTGGAGGAGAGTCAGGAGCAGGTTGTTAACACAAAACCCACCGTAAACAGAGCTGTTAATTCAGTTGCTGGCAGGGGCTTCTGTTATCTTCTGAATACCTCCCAGAGGGGATAAGCCCTACCTTTTCATTTGAGTTGGCAGCAGAGTTATTTTTTTGCACCTGTTGCTCTGCTCCGATAACAACGCAGTTAAGCATTGATTTGTTGGAAAATAAACAGAAAAAAGCAAAGAAAGGCATCTGCCCAAACAGCCTGAGCTGGTTTGACTGAGCGGTCATGCCAATTTGTTTTTCCTATAAAAACCAAAGAAAAAACCTGCATTTTCAGTTTGGATGCTACCCTCCCACTCCCTCGAATAAAAAGAGATACCAAATAGGCTGGCGGGAGCCGGCATGGCCAAGAAGCCAGAAGACCTTGTACTTTTCCATTGGCTGACTCAGCGAGGGCACTGAGGGGTGTCCGAGGTCTGGAGAGTGATATCGCCAGCCTCCAGCCAGCCGGGTTTCAGATCAAGAATCAGATTAACAAGGGCAGACAAGGGGCCACTGGGAGGTGACCGAAACCCAAACCATACTCTTCCAAATGGTTGATTTCCAAAAGTCAGTATGCTTCAGGGAGTAGGTGTGGTCTATGCATTACCTCCTAAGCAGACTCAGCACACACCCCCGATCTCAGTCTAGCCTCTCCCCAGACGTCCTACATCCAACCCTGGGCAAAAAGCCAAATTTGAAAACCCCCAATTCTTGGACCATAGATTTCTCATCTTGAAGATAAAGCTCACCATACCTACCTGTGAAGACTCACTCATAGTTTGCCAAGGGACTTGCGGTGCAAGGACCCAGGTAGAGAGGGCCTGAAAGGTACAAGGCGTGATTTCTACCCTAATCCAGGCACCATGGCATTCTCATTTCTTATTAGTTTGTCAACATCACATGATGAGCTAAGACCAAAAAGGGCTACAAATTGCTAAACAAATCGTCCAAATGGAGATCATGGCCACACTAATTAGTCAACGGCATCATTGCCTGACCATCAACACATACAGTCAGAGGAAGCTTCTTAATATCTCTGGTTAAGCTGGAGAAAAATGCATAGTCATAGGCAACCTGCAGTGTTCCCCCAGAAAATCACCATCCCCCAGTTTTCTCTCAGCCATCGGGCCCATTACCACCAGATCACTGGCTTCACTTGGTAAGGAAGGAGGGTAGAGCATTGGAGATTGACTGCTAAACATGGCTTCACCAGGAGCATTAGAACAGGGTGATCTAACAGGGGAGGGACATGGCTGGCTGAGCACTCCCAAGCATTCTTGTCATGAGTAGGGCAGGCAGTGGAGTGCCTCGAACCAAATCAGGCATCAGAAATAGAAAATATTTAACAACTCCCTTAGTTGACTGAAAAATAAATAAGACCAAATGAGCAGGAATGTGGGAAGGGTGGAGGGCGGTAAGGGGTGGGGATTGAAGCGAGGGACTGGTTGGGATAGACCAGGACAATGGTTTGACCATTTGAGAGTCAAGTTTCCTACCAGGAAAACACCAAGGTACTCAAGTCAAGGAAAGATCAACAGCCACCAATTTGGAATCTCACTGACTGTATAATTAAAAAACAAGAAGTACTATGATGGTGGGATAGTTTGTGTTCATTGAGTGTTTATTACATGCTATGAATTGAGCTAAGCTTTACATGAATTATCTCATTTAGTTCTCTCGAGAACGTCAAACCTCAGCACTAATATCTCCACTTTATAGATGAGGAGACACAGAGAAATCAAACAACTTACATTAAGACCCGGATCTAGCAAGTGGACTGGATGTGTTATAATAAGTGTATTTGAGGAAGGATAGGAAAGACAGATAATTCTTTGTGACTTTGAAAATAGAGCCTTGTGTTTCTAAAGAAGAGAAAGATATCTTTTTAGGACTTCATATTTTTAATGTGAAAGTCAGTTAAGAATGGCTCCCATAAATTTTCCCTAACTGTGAGTAAAAGACCTATCAATCATAGTGTTGTAATATGGAAGCTCTCCTTTGCGGCACAGCTGTCCAGATGCTACAGAAGTACCAGTTCATGGTCCCTCAAACTCAACGATGAAACTTGACTCTGGGTTGCTGGGGATGTAGCTCTGCGACAGAGCCCGTGTTTAACATGTACAAGGCCCTGGATTCCATCCCCAGCCCCCAAACAAAGCAAAACGAAAAACTTCAGTCTGGCTTCCTGTTGAAAGCCCCAGACTGACTCAGGGGTTGAAGTGGCTGCCTGAAGCCATCTCATACTTATTAACCATGATAAAAGAGCAGTAATAACAACAGGAAAAATTGCTGAAAAATTTAAGGGAAATTATGGCTTCTTTGGAGGAGCCGTCATGTGGGTCCTGAGGGCAGACCTGCTTGTGCTGGGAACACCACGTTGACACATCCGGAAAGCCTGAAGTCTGTCAAACAAAGAAATCCAGCAAAGTCCTCCTCCTCTTCTGCCATCACTGTGTCCAAGGCTCTGTCCAAGACTTTGCAACAGACTGTCAAAACTTAGCCCTAAAATACAGACAGAGCCTTCTAAGACTTATTCCATTCTTTGCCGCTTCCAAAGCAAATGATTTCCAATTTCCTTGCAAATTAGAGGACCCTCCTCTTTAGAAAAAGAGTTTTCTTTGTTCAGATACTGTCATTAAATGACAGCATGCAAGAAGGCTGAGCCCCCTTTTCAGGGTCTTCTAGAACATAGACTCTCCACACTTCGGGTCTCATTTTCCCTTCACAAACAGACTTTGTTCTGCTTTTCCTAACTCACTGGTCTATGCAGCAAGCACTCTCGTAAACCAAACATGAAAATCCATCAGGAAGGCAAGCTACCCGAGAGCTTTCTGAGGAATCTAATACCCTCCAGCTGATGCTTTAGAGGGGAAAGCTGTTTCAGATAAACAAAAAAACTTGTCAGCTCTTAACAAAGGCTGACATCTTTCCCCCTGGGTGGGCCAGATAAGAACATGCAGGGAGCTCTCCACAGCAGTGTCCCAGACACCCAGCATCAGCGATTGTCATACATTCAAACCGTTTCACTCCATCCAGAGGCAGGACAGTCACATAATACTGCAGGACTTGGTGCAACAGGAAAACACGGAGCCCCTGGCTCAGAACTTACTAAGGATTTCAAGACAGCGAAAGCAGATAACCGAACCAAACAGTCTTAGCACAGGCCCAATGAACTGCACAAGGTGTACACTCATAATGCTGGCTTTCTCTGGGGGGTCAGTCCCAACCTACATTTACCTGAACCAGGCTGAACCACACCCACTGAGGGCAGCAAGGTTTTTCTCATCTCTGCCCCAGGTAGTTGGGAAGATAAGACAAAATATGACATCGAATATGCCTGTGACCACCCAGCCTACAGCAGGCATTCAATGAATGTTAGCTATTATTATTATTATTATCATTGCCATTGTCATTTTTATTATGTCAAGGTCCATCCACAACTCCAAGGCAACTCATAGGCAGGAAGAACATATTCCCCTGTTTTGGCACTGTCTCTCAGCTAATACTGCTCTGTCATTTCATGAACCATGTGAAAGTGAGTGATGTCAGTTAGAGCTTCTTAAACTTTATGTACCATGAACCCATTCTGCAACCTGTTGAGATCTTTGAAACCCTTCTCAGTTATCAAAATACTTTCTAAAAACACATGTGTGATAGCATAACAACATATGCACTTCTTTGTTAACACGTTAAATAACACTATCTAGTACATGTCTAATAACTTCTGTGATGTCAGATGATATTTTGAGACATCTGCACCAACTGTAATATCACACTATAATGTTTGTGACTTCTCTTGGGACTAGTCACAGTTACTGCTAATATCCATGAGAAGTTATGGGTAGCTGCATATCTAGTTAAAGGTTATGGAAAACACTAATGTAATTTTTTCCTATCCGCCTGAATTTCTCCCCAGGAATACTAAGAGATTTGTGGACAATAGTCTAAGAACTCTGGTTGTTTTCACTAAAAGCAAGAACAACTTACTCAACACAGCCCCTAGAAACCACTTCCATGCAGCCAAGGTGCACACATTTGAGCAATTTACCAAGAGGCCAACCCCACAATGTCCAGGCAAAATAAGTAAGTAGATTTTTTCCCCCCAAGGCTTCTAGCATGCTGCTTCAGTAGCAACTGTCAGGAGAAATCTGCAGACACCCTCCAAAATTTTAGAAGTGGGCAACAGTGTAAAGTGCATAGAGGGAGACTGTGTCTTCTGGAGGCCCCAACATGCCAAGGCATCAAGGCACAGGGATAGGAACATCTGCATGCCTGACCCAGGTCTTCCCCAAGACTTCCATGGGTTGTAGTTTGCAGCCATCTCAAAAAGAGGCACAATTTGGAGGTCCCCTTTAACATGGGTTGTTCCATTTCCCCACCACCCATCATCCCCACATACTGCATTTCTTTCCCAAAGTTATGGTGCAGAATCAGAGTTGCTCAAAATGATAAAAAAAATCCTAGAATTTAATACTCATCCACTCCAATCCAATGGAGACTCACTGGAAACATTCAGACTGAATATTTGTCCTTGACTTCTAGTCTGCATACTACTATTTACTCACAAGCATTTGTCCAGGTACTTTCATAGTCTTTGCTTAATTTACTCCTTACAACACCCCAGAGCAGTAGATGTTATTAACCCCATTTTCCAGATGAGAAAACTTAGATGTGAGAACTTGCATAATTCACCCAAAGTCACTCTACTACCCAGTGACAGAGCCCAATTTGAACCCAGGTATTCTAACTCAAGATCCAATGTTTTGTACCACATTCCAGCTGTCCCCAGGTCC